CCTATACAAAAATAAATGGTGCTTTAACTCGCAAAATTTGTGCGATATCTTTCAAAATCTTCAAGACTTACATAACTGTTGCATTAGAATTTTCATTCTCATTGTAAACTTTTTCTAACTGCAAAACATTTGTTTGATGTCAAGGAAGCTCACATAAGCACCAGTGATGAGTTTATTCTTTTAAGGCTTGAAACTATGTTGAGTAATTGGCGAATCATTTCAAGAAAAATCATATCCAGGGGCATGTCACCTGAAGACCTTAAGCACGAACATGTTGCTTCTTCTAATTAATGCTTTTCCCAACTTGTTTGTTCGTTTGGGGCAAAAATTCGAAGACTTTGTTGTGCCGACTACAGTCAATCCGGGGCAATCACGTAGAGATTTGATGAATCTCCATAAGAGTTTGAAGACACCAGAGCATGGTGAATTCCAAGTCTTTTGTAAAATCCTCTTGAGACGATTTCTCCTCATCAACCATATAGCTCGGGGCATTTTAGAGGTGAAGCTATTCGCAAGAATCGTCGTGCATCACGCAGCTTATCAGCAGTAAACTTGGGGCATCCAAAATTAATCCCAGGGGCAATCCAGATTTGTCAAGATATGTTTTTCATACATTATCAGAGGGTGGTGTTCCCAGTATCTCCAGCTAAGCAAGACTTCTTTCCAGCTGAAACTTTGTTTATGTTGTTATCCTTTCAATGGATTGTTTGCAATAGAAGACTGGACTTTGAGTTTTCTACCTGAAAATATCTTCCTCTCCAGAGATATTTAAGCCTTGTAAAAGGACCTTGCTCCAATGATGGCCTGTGTTTTATCTCCAATAATGTTCCCATCCTGTTGAGATTAGCCGAGTGTTGGGTTGTGCTATGATGTCTTATCATCTCCAGTTTATCTTGTCTATTTGTTTTGTCAGCACATACATGGCATTCATTCATTCATTCACACTTGCATCATGCACGCACAGTTGTATTTGTTGATGTCATTGAGTTCGTATACCTTGGTTGTGTCTATTCAAATAATGTATTTGATCTTTCCAAGTAGAGTGCCAACTTAAGCAGAAAGTGCGCCTTCTTTCTAATTCCCCACTGAGTTAACTCTCGTGGAAGAATATTGCTTTAGCTTTCCTTTCCCATCTCTGGATAGGATAAATCCCCATTTTAGTTGTTTCCTCATTGGGTGGAGTCTTGTTTGACTTTTTTCTCTTCAGTTTATTCCTGGATTGAGCTTTGTCTCTTGTGAACGATACCCTGTGGATCTCTCTAGGCTGTGAAATCTAGATGGAGAGTGCATTTATTTTGCAACGTAAATACTTGGTCTCCTCAAGAAGGACTTATTCATGGTGCCCCATTGAAGATGAACTTTATTCCCTAGTGGTTTTATCATAACCTTCTTCTGGAATATCGACATGACAACAAGCGACTGACTATTTATTTGAGCAGTTTGATTATTTCTGATTTCTCTACGACAAATGGCGGTCTCTTCATGAGCAGTTTGTCCATCCTCGATGAAATTATTGGTTCTCACCTCCAGCAATATCTTCACGATATTTTATGGGTATCTTTTTGGGAAACAGCAAGCGGCAGTCTCTTCATGAGCAACTTGTGTGTTATGGATACTCTTGACAAACAACAAGTGACAGTCTCTTCCCGAGGCAACTTGTATATTATTGACACCTCGAAAAAATGGCAAGTGGCAATCCTTTCATGGGTAGCTTGTACGTTATTTTTCTTTGGAAAACGGAAAGTGGTAGCTCTTCATGAGCAGCTTGTATGGAAAATGGCAAGTGGCAACTCTTCATGAGAAGCTTGTGGGTTATAAGCAACAAGTGGCGGACTCTTCATGAGTAGCTTGTGTGCTTTAATATTCTTTGAAGATGGCAAGTGGCAGCTCTTCATGAGCAGCTTGTGAGTTATTGGCAACAAGTGGCGGACTCTTCATGAGCAACTTGTGTGTTATTGGTAATTTTGAAAAGAAAACAGCAAGCGGCAGTCTCTTCATGGATAACTTGTATATTATCAACACTTTTTGAAAACGGCAAGTGGCAGCTTCTTTATGAGCAGCTTGTGGGTTGTTGGCAACAAGTGGCAGACTCTTCATGAGCAGCTTGTGTGCTTTGATTTTCTTTGAAGACAGCAAGTGGCAGCTTCTTTATGAGCAGCTTGTGGGTTTTTGGCAACAAGTGGCGGACTCTTCATGAGCAGCTTGTGTGCTTTAATATTCTTTGAAGACAGCGAGTGGCGGTCTCTTCATGAGCAGCTTGTATATTATTGACACCTTTGAAAGGAAGCAAGTGGCGGCCTCTTTATTTGAGCAGCTTGTGTATCCCCAACAATAATGTCTACTCAGCAAATGGCATCCCTTCGACAAAGTCCCGCGGGGAAGTTTGTTATTTTATCCTTTTCAAGCGATATCTTGGTTAAAGAAGAAATGTGTTACCGTTCTTGGTAAAATTCAGAAATCAGAGATGTTTATCTCCAGCCACAATGCTGATGTCAATCATTTTGTTTTCCAGCCACAGTGCTGATGTCAATCATTTTGTTTTCCAGTCGCAGTGCTGATGTCAATCATTTTGTTTTCCAGCCACAGTGTTGATGTCAATCATTTTCCAGTCTCATCATTTCCTTTTCCAGTCACAGTACTGATGTCAATCATATGCTTTTCCAGTCACAGTACTGATGTAAATCATTACCTTTTCCAGTCCCAATACTGATGTAAATCATTCAAGAGTCTCTCATTTGAAGTCTATGACTCTGTTTCCCCAGCGGAGTTACAACCTATTCCTCTGTGGGATTACTGTATAATGTGCTTGGTTTCTCCAGCATAGTCTGTCTCATATGGCGTCATTCCCCATAAAATTTAAAACATCACATTCATATCATATCGTAAACATAATCGCGGTATCTTAAGGCCAAAAATTGTGTATTCTATATTTAAGTCCCTTCAATCTCGTCGAAATGAAGATCCCAATCTTCATATCTCCAGATAGAAGAAACTTAAATAGGGGAAGCTGTTGTACCCCAATTTTTGACCTAAGATCCCATTTTTATTTTTGCATAAGTCAAGGTCACGAAATACGGTCGGTTTTAACGTCTCACCTTCGAGCTTTGACTATGCGAAGATTGTCAAGTGTTTTGAACATTTTTAGCATATGTATCACTAATTTCTAATCGCATACAAAGGTGTATGTTCACGTTTTCTTTTGTGTCATGTGTAGAGACAGGTCTGAGCATCAGGTGTCGTGCCTCAATTAAGGTTTTGAGTCTCCCAAGCCAAAAGTACGGTTGATTATGGATTCTCGAAGACTGATTCATCAAGGCACAACTGTCGCACCCCATTTTTCGCCCCTTCACTTTTTTCGACTGGTGCATATTTTGTCGTTAATTTGAAAAATCGATCATTTCGCATACTTTGTTGTTTTTATTCATCATTCTAATTTCTATTTAAAGAAAAAAAGAATTAAAATAGTTTATCATTTGCATTTTCTATCATATTTCCAATGAATTTGTTTTAGTTCAAAAATCTGTCTTATTATTTTTTTTTTTCTTATTTTAATCTATTTCTATTTCTTTTAGATATTACTAACTATTTTCTCTTTTTCTCATTATTGTTATTATTATTAGTATCTTTATTGCATTTTATTATTTCATCTTTTATTGTTACTAATTATTTTTTATTTTGTTCTCGTTATTGTTATTATCATTGTTGCATTTTATTATTCTTATTTTATTTATTGTTACTAATACTTTTTTTCTTTTTCTTATATTATTGTTACTATTATGTTATTATTTGTTTGTTTTTGTCAAAAATAGAGAAAGAAAATTACAAAGTAATTCCATTACAATATCATTCACTACTCTTCAAAGTGTAGGTTTCAAGTGCCTAAAATACAAAGTCTCAAGATCTAACTATTCATCATCCATTATTCAAACCATTCAACTTTCAAGACAATGTTCAAAATTCAAATGTCAAGTTCAAATGCCATTCAAAGTTGAAAATGTTTTTCAAGAGAGGTTCGAATACAAGGAAAAAAGTTCCATCCAATTTATAATGCTTACAATTTGGAATTATGGAAATTTTGAATTCAAATATAACAAGTTACAAAGTCTAAACCATGTTTCACCAAAAGTTGTCATTTCACTCAAACACTCAATGTCATAATAAAAGTTACAAATTCAATCATCAAATGATCAAATACATCAATTCAAAACTACCAAGTCCTATTTATAAATGACATCAAGCTCCCAAAACTCATCCAAACCTTGCTTCAATTTTCATCCAAATCTGTCCACCAAAACAACAAATATATGAAAACAAAATCAGTCTAATTTCAAAAGAAAAAGAGAGGGAAGATACATGTTTTGTTACTTGGTAAAATCATAAAAATACAAAATAGAAAGGGACCTTTCCAATGATACTACACTCCAAATTCTGCTACTGCAATATGCCCAAAATCATCCATGTTGCAATGCTGCAAAAAACTGCATAATAATGCCAAAAAACTGTTGCTGTATGCTGCTCCAAACCCTGCATATCAGTCCAAGAAATAACAACAAAATAGCCATACAAATACCTGCACCAAAAAGCAATAAAACAGTGACAATAAAACCAACTTTTCCCTCCCAATTTCACTCCATTTGTCTATATAAGAGGGATTACTGATAAAAAAAAACAAAAAAAGGAAGTCTTCATTTCTCACCACAAAATCAATACCCATATTTCTTTTTTGGATTCATTCCTCTATCAATAATTTCATTTATTAAAACAACTTTGAGAATTTGGCTTACGTTGAGACACGAGAACACATTCTCCCTTCTGCTCCATTGTTCTTCACCATCTTCGTCACTCAACCGCAAACACCTTTTCACACCATTCAACATTCACTATCATCAACCCACCGACCGAACCACCCTATTCACAGAACGTACTTTCTCCGTTCAACCGCACGACCTTCATCTTCATCCAATCCAACCGTCATACTCGCTACCTGCTCAACAACCAAACTACCCATCATCACATCCTTGTTTAACAAAACAACCTGCAAAATCATTAAAAACAACAAAAATATTATTACTGTTTTTCCGTGTTTTTGTTAGTTTCACAGAGAATAAAAAAGAAAAACAAGAACAAAAAAGCAAACAAACCCGTCAAACCTGTATAATACAATCACAACAGCAATTTTCACAAGAGAATACATTCATCTACATAAACAAAAGTGGATAAGGAAAATCTATAAAATTTGTTCTCTTGTTGTTTTGTTCGGTTGTTCTACAGAGAGAAAAAGTGAAGAGTTACAAACATCACGTCACATCATCCTTACCGATCGATTCCGCGCTTTTGCTACAGCCGCTCTCAACAACACCACAACGATATCGGCAGCCTTTTTGCGGAAAGACCACCGTCGCGCCTCCCGTCCCACCAGATTCACGATGCAACCTACAACCACTACAACCAACGAAATCCCGCCGTTCGTGCATCAGCCTTGCCTGTCGGAGCCACCGCATCACGCACGGATCTGCACGCTGCCCAATAACTCCGATCGCAACCAGAATCACGCCGGTGAAACCTCCTTCGGCTAGGTACTCTTTCTGCTCCGATTTACATTGTTATGGTTGTTTCATTTTTTGATGTTAAATAGAAAAGTGTATTGTGTGTTGGAACTATGTTAAGCTTTGGTTGTGTTTACTGTGTCAAAAGAGAAACTAAAGAAGAGGAACAAAGAAAGAGAATATGAGGAGTGTTCTGTTTTTTTTTCTTCTTTATAATATAGTATTATAAATGAGTTTATTTTGTTTTTTTTTTGTTTTAATAAAAAAGGGACAAGTATTAATCTTTGATTGGCTAAAATTTCAATTTAAAAATAAATCATCTTGACTTAAGGAAAATAGAACGCCCCTTATATCTCTATGCATCCATGTTTTTTTGTTTTTTTAATTTAATTTTATTTATTATCATTATTTAATAAGGGTATAAATTAAGATTTATTTCTATGAGCATTGATTTGTTATTTGTACCATTTTCTACAAAGTGTACCCCCATGATTTACTTTTTCTTTCTTTTAGTTATTTAAGTTTGTTTTAACTTCCAGAATATTTATTTTAGTTACTAAAAAAAAATGTCATTTATATTAGTCAGAACTAAAAATAATATACAAAAGCACAAAAAATATTTAATTTTCTTAATTAGTTTAATAAGGGAATTTTGTGAATAATTTTATTAATTAACTTTTTTTTTGTTTAGTTAACATTCTTTAAAATTGTTTAATTTTTTTTCTGATAAAAAATATCAAAAATATATATAAACATATGTTTTAATTTATTTTAATCAATTACTTTATTTTCTAGAATAGGTTTTTATTTTATCTTCAAAATCTCTCCAACACCGATTTTTAGCCAAACGAACCATTTTAATCAAACGAACAATTTTAAACCAAAAAATAGATATTTCAAAAGGTTCCTGCGGAGTACCGCAGATGCATTGGGTGCTAATACATTCCCATTGTATAACCAACCCCCCGAACTCTCGATCTCTTTCAAAAACGCATTGTATTTTATTACTTTTAAGTATTATTTTACATTGCATATTTTAGGGTTTTATTTCGCTCTTTTCCCTTTTCCCTTGGAAATAATAAAGCGCGGTGACGACTCTTGCTTTGGTGAGTCAAGTTAATTAATAGCTTGATCTCCGATTTTCACCGCTACAGTAATTAAGGTTTGGATTTTATTTGATTTAATTTGATTTAAAATGAAATAATTCAATAAAAAATCAAATAAAATAATAAAAATAAGATATGGGCTCATGGCTGAAGCTAGAACACGTGTTCAATGTGGAAAGTTCAAATCAAGTGGAAAAGAATGGGCCCATTTGACAAAATTTGAAGTTTTGGGGATAGTTGACTTTTGGCAATTTTGCAAAAATACCCAACTTCAGCAATGCATAACTTATTTAATTTTGAACTTTTGGAAGTGTTCTTGGACTTTTTAGAAAGCTTTAGGTGTCCTATAACCAACCCTTTTGGTCCCATCTCATTTTGATATTCCATTATCAAGTTATAAGATTTGGAAAAAAAGGTGTTTTTGTTGACTTTCAAAAATGACCTATAATGTCCAAATTTATAACTTCTTGTGAGTGCATTTCCTGATCTTGGGGTATGAAGATGGATTGTTGGAAATTGCATCCTCTTCAAAATGAGCTTTTGATGAGTCATTTCTCCTAAAGTATGAGAAAGTTATGCTTGGTCAAAGTTGAGTTGACTTTTCCTACAAAACCCTAATTTAGCAACTTTTGAGTCTTGATGAATTTTGAGCAATCCTTGATGAATCATGATCAACCCTTGATAAGATGATAAAATATCCTTCAAAATGATAATGTTGGCAAAAAATCTTGAAGTTTGACTGTTTATAGGTCACAATTGACTTTTGCCCTACACAGTCGATTTTTGGACCCTTTGAGCAATTGACTGAGCAAACTTCCTCTGCAAGGCATGAAATTTGACACGGATGACCTTGAGAACATATTAGAACATTGGGGAGCACTTGAGGTCATTTGGACTCAAGGATCTTGATGCAACACAAAACCCTAATTTGGGGTTGACTGCCTTAGGGGATAGCTTGACTGTCCAACTCTTGAGCAAACTTGAGCCACTTGGAGATTTTTCTTGCAATGTTTTGAGAAATATGAGAGAGCAAATTTTGGAGTACAATAATTGCCCCTGTTTAATCTTATTAAACCTGAGGATGTAGATTGGCTTTCGTGAACCGAATGTGAAAGATGATTGAACACTAGAGTGCCCAGAAATTTGCACTCGCATGAAGTGGTATCAGCCTGGTAATGTCGGGAATGGGCTTAAAATGCCATTTGGAGATTGTTGGTAGGAGGATGGGCTTAAAGATGCCATCTGAAGGAGCTTCGATCGCATAAGGGATTCCTTAGCGAGAACTTGTATACCTGTTATTGTAGAAGATTCCGCTGGAGAAGCCTGGTTTTTTCTTGAGATTTAGGAACTTGCTTGTACTTTAATTGAGAGAATGCCTCGGCTGAGTCTTAAGAACCTGTCCATAATTTAACTGGGGGGAAACATCTTCATCAAGATCTAGGACTGTCTGGTCTTCAACGTAGTATACCGTTGAGATTGTAGAACTCGTCCACACTATGACGGAGGAAAACATCAAGATCTAGGAACTGTCTGGTCTTCAACGTAGTATACTGTTGAGATTGTAGAACTCGTCCACACTATGACAGAGGGAAACATCTTCATCAAGATCTAGGAACTGTCTGGTCTTCAACGTAGTATACCGTTGAGATTGTAGAACTCGTCCACACTATGACGGAGGAAAACATCAAGATCTAGGAACTGTCTGGTCTTCAACGTAGTATACCGTTGAGATTGCAGAACTCGTCCACACTATGACGGAGGGAAACATCTTCATCAAGATCTAGGAACTGTCTGGTCTTCAACATAGTATACCGTTGAGATTGCAGAACTCGTCCACACTATGACGGAGGGAAACATCTTCATCAAGATCTAGGAACTGTCTGGTCTTCAACGTAGTATACCATTGAGATTGTAGAACTCGTCCACACTATGACGGAGGAAAACATCGATATCTAGGAACTGTCTGGTCTTCAACGTAGTATACCATTGAGATTGTAGAACTCGTCCACACTATGACGGAGGAAAACATCAAGATCTAGGAACTGTCTGGTCTTCAACATAGTATACTGTTGAGATTGTAGAACTCGTCCATACTATGACAGAGGGAAACATCTTCATCAAGATCTAGGAACTGTCTGGTCTTCAACGTAGTATATTGTTGAGATTGCAGGACTCGTCCACACTATGACGGAGGAAAACATCAAGATCTAGGAATTGTCTGGTCTTCAACGTAGTATACCGTTGAGATTGTAGAACTCGTCCACACTATGACAGAGGGAAACATCTTCATCAAGATCTAGGAACTGTCTGGTCTTCAACGTAGTATACCGTTGAGATTGCAGAACTCATCCACACTATGACGGAGGAAAATTGTCGAGATTGAGAACCTTATCTGAAATTCAACTGAGGATAATCAGTTGATATTTAAGAACCGGTCAGGTCATCGACTGAGGGAAACTTAATTGCCTCCTTCCTGAAAGGTAAAGGTCAGTCGTATGCAATGCATGATATATGTCAAGCAATGATGTTCTCAAAATAAATGAGACCGTGTTGTATGATGCGTATATGCATGTGTCATGATGTATGGAAATGCAATGTTTTATTCAGGGAAAATAAATCCCGGATAGCTGCTGGATAATAGAGTTGGATTCTTCGTTTCCGCTGGGGATGGCGAATGAAGATGATTGTGAGAATATACCTGCAGGAGAGGATAACTCCGTCGGGGAATAAACTGATGAGGAGATTACTCTGTGGGGAAGAGATATTCTGCTATGGATTCCAGCGATAAATTCCGTTGGGGATGAATTACCATTGCTGGTGATATTGAATCCTGTTGGGGGTTTTGAATTCTGTTTGTGAAAGGAAAGAACTCCGCTGGGGATGATCTTTCAGTTGCGACTTCATTGGGGATAACCTTTGAGACTCTTTTGGGGATAATCCTTTGAGCTTTGCTGGGGACTATCTTCCTTTGAACTCGGTTGGGGATATTTATTTTTATACTCCGCCGGGGACGAACTTCCAGAGTCTACTGGGGATTATTCTTCAACTCCATTGGGGAAGCTTTTTTCAGACTGCGCTGGAAAAATTTCAAACTCCACTGGGGATATTTTGTATTCTACCGGGGAATATTCTTATACTCCATTGGGAAATATTAAGACTGCCGGGGATATTAAGCCTTTTCAGTATTGATGGTAGATAAACTCTGCTTGGGGGAGAATATTACTGATTCATTCATTCACAGTTGCAAGCCTCGGCTGGGGAGAGCTATCATTGATGTCCTTTCTTACTCTGCGGGGAGTGAATGTACTTTGGCCGTATTCTTCAGCTGAATATACCTTCGTACCTGGTGGATAGAGCAACTGTAAAGTTTGGACAATTCTCATTTGCCCCTGTTTCTGATATTACCAGTAATCATCTTTTTGTTTCGCATGCAAATATTTATGAGCAGCAATTAATGTCAAGTGCATATATAAAAAATGAACATTGGACGTTCTTTGCAAAACAAAACAGATAAAGGAAAAACAATTTGAAATTTCTTTGAAAATGAATTGTATTGATTTTGAAGTTTGGCCTGTGAATAGGCGTTTTTGTACAAGGGGCTGACGTCCTAGTAAGAGAACGCCGCCAAACAGATATAGTTTATACAATCTGTGAAAAACTTAAACAAAACAGCTATGTGAATTATCCCACTGGGTTCCAACTCTACTATTGCCCTTATGTCCTCGAGCATCTCATCACTTTGCTACTGGTTGAAGATGAATCAGATTGATTAGTGCCGTCCGAGCTTGATAGTCGATACCGAAGTCTGGATGCAAGGTGATCCAATGAGACATAGTGTTACGCTTTAAT